CCCGGCACCTTTTTGTTCTTACGCAGTATTTTATATATGTTATTTTCAGGATAATCCGAAGTATCAAATTTACTGGAATCAGCTTTAATGATCTCCTCATATGCATCCTCACATTGCAATTCGTAGATAAAACTGTCTGTGTCCATGTACATGAGCTTACACCTTTCTGCACCCATTTTTGGTAGCATATAGGTGTAATGAAAATCGTACATGACTAGTTTCGATAGGTCTAGAATTGCCTGCCCTACATACAGAGGTTTGTTAAACGTTATTTCAGCCTTGTTCAATTCGATAACCACCAGATTTTCCTCTAAAATTGTGCGACTGTGGAACCGAAAACTCGAAATCAAGTTTGCTGCCCCATAGCGACCACCCCAAGATTTAACGATTTTACATACGCGGTGCTTACGTATATTTTCCATGGTCTTACCGAATACTGCATTATTCATTAATTTAAAAAGATTTTTTTCGAAATCATTCCGGGCTGCAGCTCTACATCGAGTATTCAACTCGATGTAGGGTTTCAGCCAGGCTGCTTGTTTAAATTGTAAAATTTTATGGATTTTCGTTAACTTTAACCCATTAGCTAGCATTTGTTTTAAATTTTTATAGTGAACCGTGTACTCTTTTTTATCCGTAAGTGTTGCCATTAATTTCGGCAATTTTACCCCGCCGTCGCTGGGTGGTACGCTACGTTCTGCCGCAAACGGAAAATCTTTGTGTTTATCGTGCAGTTCTTGTGGGTACGATAGATCGACTTGTAGCACGTACCCTACGTCAGAGTCGTCGGGTATTGACATCACATCAAACGATGTTACATCATCTACCCATTTGAACCCTCCGTAGGGTAAGGGTTGCTGCATAGCCTTCCCATATAAGCTATTCACATCCAGGTACATAAGGTACTTGGACGGCTTTTCAGGATCATATTCGGGCATATATTTATTGTTGGCCTCCGAAAATCGGTTGCTACACACCGAAATTCCACCTCTTATAGCATTTTCGTAAAACATCACCATATCTAGATCCTTTAGTAGTTCTAACTTACACCCAGTGTATTTGAGCATACAGTCCCACGTATATCCGGGCATTGTATAGTACCACGCAGGATCCAGACCATAGGTGGAGAAACATTTTTTACGCAATTGCTCAAAAACGTCGGCAAGAAGCAGAATATCTGTTTTTAAATATATATCAGAATACTCTCCTAATGTTTTAATGTTAAACTGTTGCCAAACAGATTGCGCATGAGCATACTTCTCGTCACTTACACTTTCATCGTTTAATTTATTGTAAAATTTTTCAATTGGGGGCAAAGTCGTTTCATTTAATTTTTTCAACGAATCAATGTAATCGTAACAGAAAACTCCTTTCTGTGTTAATAATTTGAATTTATCTTCATCTAAATTTTGAAATTCCCTTTGTAAAATTTTCTTTTCTGATACTGCTAAAATTGAAGCTAATTCATCAAGAGACGCCCCCATAAATCGAAAAGAGTCTATAAACCGCAATTTAATGTTATTTTCATCTGAGTGCAGCGTAAAGGAGATGTATTTATCTTTGTTGATGGGAAGTAGACTTAAGCGACCTTTTTTACATAAATTCGAAATCATAAAGTGACTATCGTACCCACTTAAATTATGGAATATAACCGGCACAACAAACAATTTTCTAAAGTTCAGATTGCATGCTTGGTGTGCGTAACCTCTGAACTCTCCACTGAAATGGTTGTGATCTCTAACGATTATGTCTTTTTTTGTTTTTGAAAATCTCTTACCGCAAATATGACATGATGTTGCCTTACATGTGTCTAATTTTTCAATCATAGGTACGCTTGTTTTTATTTTTGAGTTTACAAATTGCGCAACACCAGCCATACGATTTGCAAACCAATCCATACAATCTGCACCTCGAAAGCTCTCGAAATAAGAAAGGCTATCATCATAGCTGCATTTTACATAGAAACCAGCACTATACGGAACGTGTTTTTGATATTTTATGGTTTTAGTTAAATTTACGACGCTACTTTCTTTATGATTTTCTAATTGACATTCAAAATCTGCATAAACAACAAAAGGAGTATTTTGTTGGTATGTAAAGTTTTTAAATTCAACGCAGCTCTCTTTAGGAAGGTTAATTTTATATTTATTAAATTTAGAACACAGTTTTTCATGTTCAACTAATTTATTTTGCTGATGGAAATAGTTCAGACATCTATCGCAAATAAATTTTTTCTCACGATGTTTATTTAACTGGCTACTAATAAGACGCGAAAGATTTTTAATCCAACAATAGTGATATTTAATTTCATCGATTGAATCATTATCTTCATTTGCTGGCGCTGGTGGAGGAGCATCATAATCATTTAAACGCGGATAATATTTATTTTGAGCTAAAAGTAAATTAACATGCGTATCCCGTTTATTTTCCGTTAATCTTGCTGGTACTACTATGTAAAATGATTTTTTTTCTGTTTCGATCAATTCTAAAGCGTAAACATTGACTGAAATGTTATTCATCTTTTCAAATTTTGAAATTTTTGTTAGCAGCATAGGACTATCTAAATTTTCTGTTTGTAAAACGTCAGTAAAGTGTGGATATGAGGAGGTTAGTTCTGCATGTCTTTTTTTGCTAGGAGTCCGAAGAGCGCTTACAATGGCCCAGTAAAAGCAATTTTGATCTATATTTTTAATGTTTATACAAGCATTTTTCCTTATAATCGGTTCTGGTAGTCTAATATAAGATGAACCGTTTCCCAATTGATATTTACTGATATTAACAACTAAGGAAATAATTTTATTTAACGCAAATCCCGAATCTTTTTCAGCAAATTCCGATAATTCGTTTAAAAGTTTATCTTTCACATATATCTTAAACCACTCGTCTATTTGAGTTGATGTATCAATAATATGATTTTTAGTATTAATATATTTAATTCCCAAAATTTCATTATCCCCCGATTTCCTAATAAACTCCCCGCAAAATGTTGTATTTACTTTGAGCGCACAATGGGTGTTCAAAATATTCCTAATTTTCCTTTTAAAAACAACTACACAATCTGCTAAAAATTGATTCAAGTCCTTATGACGCAAATTAGCTATGGAACCGGTTTTTATTCTACTTTGAAAGCTCGATTCTACATTTTCCCATCTAACCCTCTGACCCAATGTTAAGTGAAGTCCTGCCCCAATATGTCTAGTTAAAATCAACTTTCTAAAATGTTTAAAATGCCCCAAATTTGTTTCTACTTTTCTACAGGTCCCTACAGATAATTTATTTTGCCTTCTACTACGAATTACCCGTTTACATAATCTAATTTGTTTTTCTATTCGTTTCAGCCACACTTCCGCGTCTCTGATTGTAAAATTATCAAATAAAATTTTCCGTAGACTAACAATTGATAGTAGAACACCGTCTGTTTGTTTGATGATCTTTTTAACCTTATTTGAAGACATTTGAAAAGACGACATTTTTTTTTTCAAGCAAACACATTACTCAAAAATATATAAAAATGCTCACCCTGTCCTCCTCCTCCTGTTCTCTGCTTTGTTAATTTTCCACTATTTTGAATGATGCTAGCGGTCGGCTTTTCCCTACGTCCACTTCCCCTTGGAAGATGATCGAGTATTTTCCGTGAAAAAGTTCGTCGATGACCGGCTGGTACGTTTCCGTCACCCGCTGTGGTAGAAATAGCACTTCCGGTCCTAAATCTAGTAGCACGGCTTCCCCAAATTTCGACTTGACCACTTTAGCTGCTTGGATTGCAAATGGTGTCCCGACTGGTAGGTCCTTTAATTTTCTGATAGGTTTGCGGTCTACAATCGAAGACGCAGCATTAATTTTTGATAAATCCATCTATAAAAAAAATTGAGTCGTCTAACTATTTTGAAGCATAACACGAAAAAAAAAAAAACAGTTGCACTTAGAGACATAAAAAAGAAAAATATTAAATAAAATAGCACTTACTTTTTTTAAAATTTTCGCTCTCTCGTCTCTCTCGAAGCACTAATTGTACTGCGGTCGTTGTTGCAGCTTGCAGCGTTGTGCGTTAAGTGTGAAACAATGATGACTATTGCATGCGCTCGCTCAATATAAGTACGTAGTTGAGATGACACACGCGTGCATGAGATAATTGTATCGTAAATATGCATATTATATGCATCATATTCTCAGTACCATTTTTATCGAGAAAACTGCATGCGCTCGCTCAATATAAGTACGTAGTTGAGATGACACACGCGTGCATGAGATAATTGTATCGTAAATATGCATATTATATGCATCATATTCTCAGTACCATTTTTATCGAGAAAACAACATTCATTGCGGTTGCAGTATTTTTTATATAATTTCTTAGTAATACATGAATGTATCGTTTGTCCGGCGGAAATTCCAATTACAAGTTGCACATGAGAGTAGAATTTTAGAAATATAGAAATTCGTGTATGATTATTGTATATTTGCTGCCTAATTTTTTTTCAGTCAAGATTTTGATTGGGGGGTAAACGAATTTATATTTGCTATCTGAGATTTTTGACATCATTCTCTATCAAGATGTTGATGTGGGTAGACGTATTATTTTTTATTTCAACTTTCACATACGTGCTTTGCAACGATTTCTCCGAAAAAGACGCTATAGTATACCTAACTCAATATGAACATATCATCGATAATACAACAGATCTCTCTACTTTGCTAACTAACTTGCAAGAAAAGTATAATTTACCAGTGGATGGATTGTTGAATAATGCAACAATTGAATTTATGAATCGTCCGCGTTGTCAATACAGTGATGCTGAATTTAGAGCAAGTTTTCCATTTCGGAAACATGACCTGAAATGGTATTTCCCTCGAAACACACCTGCGGCCCAAAAAGATGCAGAAATGGCTTTTCAGATGTGGCAAAATGTTTCAAACTTAACATTTACAATGGTTACCAATCCCACTCTATATCCTCCTAATATTACTATAACCATGGTTAGCAAGACTCATTATTTTAGCGCAAACTGTATGGGTAATGATGAATGTCCATTGACATTAGATGATGCTGGCGGCGTTTTAGGACATGCATACTTTCCTGACTCTAGCGGCACCTGTAGAGAAATCCATTTAGATATAAATGAACGCTGGTATTTTGGAAATAATCCTAATATACCCAAAAATCAAACTAGTTTTCTTATGGTGTTGGTTCATGAAATTGGACATGCCCTCGGCATAGCACATAGTGCTTCTCCGAATGCTATTATGTTTGCCTTCTATCAGCATGAGATTCGTGGTCTAGATGTTGATGATATAAATGCAGTACAATATCTATATGGAAGAAAAAACAAATATGATTCAATCCCAACGTCTACCACCGCATCAGCAATACCAAAAACAACAACAACTATAAGATCTACAACTCGTAAGCAGCCGATCCTCAAAAATTTGTGTGATATTATTCCAGATTTTATGTTTTTAGCCATTGCTCCAGAGTTTTCAAATTACCGATTATATATTGCACATGATATGTTTATATGGAAACTAGACTTAAACGAAATGATTATCCCATCTCAGCCTGAACTTCTTGTCGATTATGTTCCTACAGAATTACGTCAATACACTTTACAACATATTTTCCAATCAACAAACGGTGACTTGATTACCATTGTGTCTCCAAACAACTATTTCTCAGCATCATTCCCTGCCATTAAATTTCTTGATAATTTTTCAATTGATATACCCGATAGGGCTCGAATCAATGCTATTTTTCAATCAAACGCAGGACGGTCCTATACCTTTTATAATAATATGTCATATATAGAATTTTCTAACGATTTTACTGATGTGTTGAACAGAGGACGGATAAGAGACATATTTCCTGAATTACCTGAAGATATTTCTCTCGCATTTCGATGGATTGATGGCCATAGTTACTTTTTCCGTCACGCAACTTACTATAAATTTAATGAATTTACAAGAAAAGTTGTTGCGACCGGACCATTTCATTGGACTCTATTTGGAGTACCATGCCCCAGCGAGGATTTGTTACATCAACTAAAAACTCTGTTATCTAAACTTGTATCTGTATATCATTAAAAAATACATTTTTCAGAAAGCTATGTTTATTTCGTATTCAGCCTGTTGTCAAACAAAAAAAAAACAGTCGGTTCCTTCGACTCCCCACCCCCCCACCATCATTCTACTACATAAAGTCTGTGTATCAGCACTAGCAGTGCTACAGTATCAATCATTCAAACCAGTCGCAAGCAATTGTTTTGTTCAAAAAGAGGTAAAAAATGGTAAAACCAAAAATAACCAGCAAGGAGGCTCATTACGAGGCTTTTAGGGAAAAATTAAAAAACAACCAGAACTGAACCGTAAAATACATAATTTGATTCTTGTCTGTCATGAACCAAATCAGTTGTCGAAGAATGATTTGAGTCGATTAGTATCAACATCTAAAGTACTCCCTGATAATTACAAGAATCACTTAAAACAATCATTCAATCTACCTGCACGACCAGAACACAGCGATATTGATTCAGACGACACTGTAGGCAACTGAAAATTTCATACACACACACACACACTCACACACCAATCAACCTTATTGTTATATATATACTATATGTTTCAATAAAATATCCATTATACTATTTTCATTTTGAACGGTATCATCCTGTATAATAATAACAGTACATCGTATACAGGTTATGAGACATTCTGACCGACCGACCGACCGACCAGAGGAGCCCACCACGCTATTTAGGTCACGCCTTGCTATATACGATTTAACGATATACCGTCGGTCCATCGATCCGCTATTTTTCGATGCACCCCTGTATACACGTTCTGAATGCCCCCCGTAATCCACGCCAACACCAGACAGGTGCGACATCGGCGCCATCTATGCGCGAGATGCCCAACCCATCAATGGCAGCTGTCCAATGACACATAGATTCCGTTTGGTTTGTACAGCGCCAAACAAATCGGCGCCATCTATGCGCGAGATGCCCAACCCATCAATGACAGGTGTCCAATGACACATAGATTCCGTTAGGTTTGTACACCGCCAAACAAATCGGCGCCATCTATGCGCGAGATGCCCAACCCATCAATGACAGGTGTCCAATGACGTATGACAGATGACGTGTAACGCCATCTATGCGTGAGATGCCCAATGACGCATGACAGGTGTCCAATGACACACAGATTCCGTTTGGTTTGACAGCGCCATCTAGCGGCGGAATCCCCAACTCATGATTACAGATTCCGTCCAACAACCTGTCAATGGCGCGCGACGCCAGCGCCTCTGGTGGCGGATTTTGGAAGTTTTGAGACCGAATCCCCATAAGACATCTACTGAAAGTATTTATTTTATTTAGTATAAAATCGTGCTTTGATGTGTTTAAAATGTGTGTGAATCGGTGCGTGTTAGAAACGTCTGTATAGTGTGTAGATTCGAGTGGGTACATCTTTTCTTTTAATTAATATGCCTAAGCGTTGCTGTGTACCAGGCTGCAAGGGAAACTACGAGGCAGAATTGAGATCGACACCCTACAGGTCAGTGTTTCGATTTCCAAAAAATGAGGAGTTGAAAAGTAAGTGGCTAGCTTCAATACCAAGAAAGGACTGGTCGCCTTCTAAAGATTCTGTTGTTTGTGATGCACATTTTCAACAAGCAGAAATTGTCCGTACGGAAACTTACGTTCTGCAGGATGGATCAGCTAACACAGTCACACTGAGTCGTTAGTTGAACTTGGCGTTGACGGTTTGTCCAGGAGGAACAAACTCATGGTGGACGATGCATTTGATGTCAAAAAAGACAATGAGCATCATTTTCACTTTGGATTTGCCCATTCTTCCCTTTTTTGGGCGAGGAGACGCCGTCGTGTGCCACTCGGAAGATTGCCTCTTTGTCTCGGGATCATACTAAAAGATCCACGACTCGTCACCTGTGATTACGTTATTCAAAAATTGGGGGTCACTTTCACGCATGTTCAAATTTTCCTGACACGCAATTTCTAGTCGTCAGTGAGCATACATCTAAAGTATAGTTTCAGGCGTGTGTTGCCTTTTCAGCGGCAAATCTCTACAGATATTTCCCGGTGAACAGTTCCATTTGTTCTTGCTGAATAACGCGCGGCATACATAAACCTGAACAAAGCCCGAAGCCGTTTTGCCGTCTCTAATAAATCTGCTGTAATTAGAATTATTACTCCGACTTGACAGTTTACTATTTACAGCACGCATCCAAGTGTTGCTGCTGCTGCTGGTTGTTCTTCTAGATCCAACGAGAAAGTGTAAAATGATAATATACAACAAAGTGCGACCTAGAATGACTTCCACTTTTCTCTGCAGCCAATGCCGTTGACACAGATGAAGTATTCCATTTATAAATTTCAAAGGATTTTTAATTTACAAATCGCACCCTTCCATCTAATCCGCTCTCTTCGGGTAGTTCACCTCCAACTTCGTCCCCATATTTTCTGAAGCACAGAATGAATTTTTATAAAAACTTCGATCGAAAATCCCTCAATTGAAGCCCTTTACTACCCTTAATGCAACTGCTAAATTTAAACAAAATCGACTAAAAGTTTATCAAAATATTTAAGAAAAACCGATTTATTTAGAAAGTTTCACATGCTGTATTTCGAAAATGCAGCATTCTTGGACCTATGCTTATATGAACTTTTCATCTCAAAATTACTCAAATAATAAACCACATACTTAAATAACACCCTGCGGGAATCGAAGTCGATTGGATTTGAAAGTGTCAACGTAAATAAATACATAATTGATTTCTTTTTGTAGTCCGTAAGATTTGGTGAAAAACACCTCATTAGGTCTAATTGTCGTTTAAAAGTCTTCTTTTTTTGCGTAAGCCACTGGCCGCTGTTGCCGTAGAAAACTGAATGTAAAGCGACCCGATTCTGTGAATGTCCGACGATTGATACTATTAAAATATACGCGTGTCACAGCGAATAATATCGAATATCGAGCGTACATTTAATTTGCGTTAAATGCACCTAACGTATCTATCATAGGATATCATCTATCGAGTTCACTCGACGAACCAGACAATTTCTCTTCGAATTATGAGACTGGAAATGGACTCGGGTGTTTAGATGAAATAAGGCATGTGCATTGTTTAATCGACATTTCTTAATAATTATTATAATAGTAAACACAATGGAGGGTTTTATTGTATGCGGATCATTGGAAGAGGCGGTCATAGCTTCAAGCGGAAACGTGACGGACTTTCAAATCGGTAACTTCTCAAGTTATTGGCGGATAGCCAAACAGACGCTCCGTGCACATGTACATGTCATGTAACATCCGAAAAATACATCTATGACCGTATTGTAATCGTTAACTGCGACGCTGACACTGTTACTTCATGGGTAATTATCATAGTTTATAGTTAATTAAACAATTACGGCCGGTACAAAAAGAAGTAATCTGAATCAAAGTTAACCCACTTTTGCGGCGAGCTAGATATTCTATTAGGTGTCCGTGCGACGACGATGATGAATCGCCCGTTTTGCTGGACCCTTCACGTTGACAGCCGCCATCCATCCATCCGACCAGCTGTCTTCATCGCCACTGTCGCGTACAAATACCTATCAGCGTTGCTAGACGTACGATAATTTAGAGTACAGTACGATGTACGATATGCAGGGTGGCGCATCGAAAACGAAACAGACGCATTTACTGGCAGCTCAGTTTTTTTTTTGGAAAAACGCTCAGGCCCGTCGATTTTGTTTTCGAGGGGGACACAAGTTTGGCAAAAAATCACGTTAACACGTGCAGTCCCCTGGGCGGGGGTGACACCAACCCTAAAATCTTAAATGGAAAGGGGGGTCGAGTGATACCTTATTTTAAAGGTCTATAATGATATAAAATTAATGTACTTCAATTCAATAGTTTTGAAGATTTATTGATTTAAAGCTTAAATAAAAGTAATACATCATGTTTAGTGGAGATCAATACATTTGGCAGCAAATTAATTTAAAAATGAAGAATGAACTGACCCGTTAGGCAAGTAAATGTTGAAATTAGCCACCATGACTCTCCATGCAATAATAAAGATTTTGCTCAAAACGTTGCCGCACATTTTGCAATATTTGAGGAGTAATTTGAAGGCACTCATTCACAATTCTTTGTCGCAGGTCTTCTAATGATGTTGGCTGAGTAGCACAGATTTTGCTTTTTAAATCCAAAGGTGATAAATCTGGCGATCTTGGGGGCCATTCAATGGCACCTCTTCTACCAATCCATCGATCTCGTAACGTCTGATCTAAATATTGTCGAATACGTAATGCGTAATGTGGTGGGGCACCATCCTGTTGGAACATCAACCTATTCGCAATGTAGCGCCGATCATTCTGATTTTCAATTATGGCTGTTAATGCAGAATCT